AGGTCGAAACGTTGTGATAAGAATAAGGACAATCGTCCGAATATAAATAGTGTAAATAACGCATTAGATATATAACAAAGGTAAGATTATTGTAAGTCAGAAGGAAGTCGATTGAGATATCTGATTTACAGTGGAGTAATGGATAGCGGCTCTGATTTAGGAATTGGAGAGTTCGAATTCCAGGCGAATCCATTACATTCACTTCCGTACTAATACCCTTGGGAAAGCTATGAAGTCTGTTCTCCCCACCCAACTGTGTGAAAATTGTAGGGCAGAATGTTCTATAACCTGGCCTGTTGCAGAAGGAAATGGGAACCTACTGCTGGAAAAATCTGCCTCGTCAGTCATGTATAGAAAGATACATGATCGCCTAAGCGTGTATCATGCATGGCACATAACTGACCCAGTCAAAATGAAGAGTCTGGTAAAGAATTGTTCAGAAAGGCTAATCGAATATATTTACCAACCTATAGATGAATGTAGCTTTTGTTATTTTAGAATGAGAAGCATAATTTAGAGAGGAAATGTCCATGCAAGCAGCAGGTGGACAGAAGAGAGGGGTAAAATTACTAAAAACGATTGGTTTGAAACAGAACGCTAAAAAGAATAAAGATAATGGTGACTTGATAACGGAAGTAAAAGGCAACAGGCAATAAAAAATAGAAACGAAATAATAAATTAAATAAAAAATGGCGGGAACTTTAATCCAAGACTGCAAATGGAAAAAAATGTGAGGGATAAGAAATGTGGTCGTGATAGAGGATAAAATCGAAGATTGCAGTACTGAGTCGGCTGATAACTTAATTTTTCCTTGGCAGCACACCTGCGCTCTCATACATACATATATAAGTGTCAAATAACATTTTCTTATTCCTGAGTACTAACATTGTTTGATATCAAATCAGGCCAGTTTCAAAAGTGCAGAACACACACACATGTTTTGAGCCCAGGCATGGACTTACATATGCTCGAACATCAGAGACTCGCTGGCCTCCGTAGATTTTAAGCGTTTCTCCAATCCAGCATTTTTTCACAACTTGTCATATTCGCTATATTTTCAGCCGTCATGGAGTGCTTCACAACAAAGCCATAATAAGGTATTCACAAATGCCTTTAGTGCTGCATCGTAAGGCAGTATCTATTATCCTCGCTACATGCTAAGTTTTTATGATTACTCATTGTTTCAGGCAGATCAACATCAAAAGCCTATCCGCCAATTCTTTGCACCATTTCGAATTCATCTATGTCATCATTAACCACCTTTTTCCAAGAACACTGATCCAGTGTGAAATCATTCCGACGGCCTTTTATTTTCACCATTTCGCCCAAAAGGAAGGTGATAATGTTACTATGACGCAAGGGGGGACTACTGAGAAGAAGCTTAGAAAATCATTATTAGGGGAAAGAGTAAGAAAGAGAATAGGATTCAAACATCCAGAAAATGCTCATTGGCGTTGCCTTTAAATTTTTGAAGATCTTGGTTGACTGGACAGAAAGAAGAAAAAGCAAAAGAATAAAACTTACGGTTACATCTATTAATTTCAACAGTAAAATAATGAAACCGTTTAAATTAAAGAAATCAAGGTATCGAACGGGTAAGGTCATCACAAAAATTACCAAGAAAAATATACAGGAAGGCAACGATTCGGTGGTGGGATATTACCAAAGCCGAGATGCCAGGTTACAATCGGTAACATTAGGAATTTTTCGTTGGATTTTGTGAAGCATCTTCAGATACGTAGCAGAAGCACCATATAAATATGACAGTAACATTTGATGCACGGACGAATGGTAGACTTTTTAATGTGTAAGACTGCGTCACAACATAGTCCACTGCTAGGGAAGTCGGTTCACTAAGCAATTTATTCTATAGAATTGTTCGACTTCATATTAAGCTGAGAAGACGATTTGAGTTATTCTCCTGTTAGCATCAGCCATGCAAAGGGAAGGCAAATTTTTTTTGAGGATTAAATGGAAGTAGTTTCGATTTGGAGGCATTAAAATTAACAACCCATATCTTGCCCCAGTTAGCACCAGATAAAAGGTAATTGAAGCTGCCAATTTTCACATTTTCCACCCTATCAATTAAGATTTGAGTATCTGTCTATATTTCCGAGATGAGGTATTATGTACACTATTTACATTATTCGGACTATTTTCCTCATCTTTATTGCCATTTTTATCACAATGTATCGGCCGTTGTATGCTCCGGCCTTCTTCAGGTGGTTGGAATATCGAACGGAACCCTTTATTTCGCTCGCTGGGGTAGACTGTTCTAGTTCATGTGCCATGTCTAATGGATGTCAGTTATCAGATATCTCCTGTTAATTCACCTCTCCAGGTTTTCCACTGCCTTAATCAGGTATTGAACTCACAACTCTTTGTGTCCTGTCACTGAATCTAAGCAATGCCTTGGTCAAAGAAACAATTTTGGGCTTAATTTATGGATAGTCGTCTTTCGATAAGCTAAAGTTCTATTTCTATTCTTGCTAAATGTTGACTAAGCGATTATACTATTTCTACGCACCAACACTGTCACAGGTTTTAAGAAATAATTCTAGACTTGTTACTAACCAAGGCTAGTGATTCCAGTATATCTTACCATTTCGCTTATAGCTACGAGGCTAGGGTAGAACAGATATATTCATAACTTTTCCATAGGTGTGAATGCGAACGCAATGACGTCTGCCGGAGTTTCAAATGTGAACTTTTCCACCATCTTTTATAATACAACCCACATAGTTACATTCATATACTTGCCTGATTTTGACGTCTTCAAGTCATTTGGATTATTCATCTTGCTAACAACCGTATATTGTACCTTGTAAACATTGATTGTATTTTCTTCTCGGATTTCCTTGCGACCTTGTTTCGAAGTTCGTGCACAATTGGCACTGAAATTGCTTCTGGAACGCGGACAAGACCCTCCTCAGATATCAGTCTCATGGACCACCTTTACAATGAGTCGGACTAAAAAATAGGTTCAGCAGATGCCGCTCTACAGAACTTGGACCAGCTGTTAATATTCTGACATCACCTTTTAGAGGGCGCACTTGCTTCGAGCTGTTTTGCAGACATATGGGCGACGAAGAATTTATTATCTTGGCTGCCATAACATTGAGACTTTTCATTGCATTAACGTTTTTTTTTATATGTAGACATTGGCGGCAGTTCATTTCCTAACAGAATCATTAATATTCTAATAACGATTTCTTGAAAACTCTTTTGACAATTGAATATTTTTGTATGGTCAAAAAAAAAAAAACAAAAAAACAAAAAAAGCATCACGTGTTCATGGACAAATCTATTTTGGTTTTTGGTCTGCTCTCAGACCATGTATGAAAAAACGTTTTGAAAAGCCATACATCTTATTATTGTATAGAAAGCATTACAGAAAAATGAAGTAAACAAAAATTCTACTAATTAAAAGAAATTCTACTAATTAAAAGAAATTCTACTAATTAAAAGAAATTCTACTAATTAAAAGAAATTCTACTAATTAAAAGAAATTCTACTAATTAAAAGAAATTCTACTAATTAAAAGAAATTCTACTAATTAAAAGAAATTCTACTAATTAAAAGAAAGGAAACAAATTTAACAAGTAAAAGTTTTTAAGCATTTCACGCCAAGCAAGGCGGGTGCCACTAGTACGCGAGGGGTTATAGAGTGAAGCGAGAGTAAAGCGGCGTGACGGGGGGCGGGGGATGACGAGAAGGACAGGGGATAGGTCAGGGTATCTGGAGATGTCGATTGACATTACATTTGAATCGTTGGAGATTACAGCTATCAGGAAAACAAAGAATACGAAAGGAATTCTACAGACGGGAGGACGAGACATGAAGCTATTGGAGTAGAAGAGATGGCTACATTTAACCGTTCGACAGTGAAAGGGTGGGACCGTGATGCCAGCCTAGTAGCACGCTTAAATTCATGCAGTCTGGGAACTAGCGAAAGTAGCTCGTCGGAGCAGTTGTCCTGAAAGTATTTGTAGAAAAGACAGAGGGAGGCTACGGTACGTCTGTGGGAGAGCGACTGTAGACGAGATGCCAGACCAGGCCCAAATACATTGCATACCCGTGTCTGGATCTTGTTGAGGGCCTTAAAGCGAACAATGGGGGCACCAGGCCATATATTATTCCATGCATGGGCGAATGATTGATTGTAATAGAGAGCAGTTTTGTTATAGAAACATTAAAGTTAACCAGCCAATTCCTGCCCCAGTGCACAACCGATTGGACGTCTTTTTCGAGACTAACGGCCAGTCAGCAATACCAGACTTGTTATTGAGACAGGAGTAAATAGTAGTGTCGTCAGCATAGATGCCTAATTGGGAACTCATGACATCGGGAAATCGTTAATGAAGATAACAGAGTAGGGCTCAGGAGAGAGCCTTGGGGAACACCTGAGTTCATTGGAAAGGAACTGGAGGAGAATCCGTTAAAGACGGCCTTCAGTACACAGTTTGACAGGAATGATCGTATTAAGTCAAATAATCGACCTGAAATTCTGTATCCCTTAATCTTACGAAGGAGGCCGGCATGCCAGACCCTATCAAACGCTTTAGAGATATTGAGAGCCACGGCACGAGCTTCTCCGTTATTGTGGAGTGCTTGGTAAACAATTTCAGTTATGGCCGTGAGCACATATACCAAAGTTAATTATTCATTGGATAGGCACGTAGTATAAGGGTTATCTTCCTGAAATATAAAAGTTCCAGCTGAGTCTGTTTTCATTTTCGTACAAAAGAGTGTTCTGTTTTTTATGGTTTATCAACCTTTTATTTTAAAACCAAGAAATTTACTTTGTAAAAAAATCTTTTTAAGATAATAATTTACTGATACAAATTCAATTAACCTTTAGCTGTGGGGGGAATACATACATATCCCAAAGCTAATTGCACGTAAGTGAATATTACTAACCCGACAAAAATTTGATCTCGGCCCTCCGATTTTAAATTCCAAGCCGTTTTCCAATACGCCACTGGCTCATCCAAGATTAGAGCACCTAGTCTTCCCAAGCGGTCACCCATCTAGGTACTGACAAGGCTCGACGTTGCTTAACTTCGTCGATCGCATGAGAACCGGTATTTTAATATATTGCAAATTCCATCTTTTATAAAAAATATTTGTCATGGAAAGAACAGCAATTATACTTCGCGTGGTCCTGAAAAGTCTTTCCAGCGGACCTTAGTTAATGTTCAAATCTGTCGTCTTTCGCTATCCCAATATATCTTCGGATTTCAGTGTCACATTTCCCATCTTCGATGAAAGCACATTCACTTAAATATTTTAATTGGTTTTGCTGTCTCTAATTTGTAATTCGCACACCGGGCAGTTGCTTTCACTGACAAACATACGTTCTCGTTTCTTACAAGTCCTTTATTTTCGCATTCCTTTAATGATAATATTAGCCGTTTCCCTACAAGGAAACATTTGGCGTTTATTGAACGAGTAGCCAGTAATGGTTTCTGTTGAAATTTATAAAATATTTCCCATAAAACATTTTTTCACAGAGTATTGATGGGAGTTTCCTTACTAACTTTTTATTTGAAGTCGTGTGGAGGGTCGACATTTTTTATGCTTTGTAAATATTGGGTCTAAATAAAATTAATAGCGAATTTCAACGACAGTATTTATAGATTTATTCAACCACATTATATGAAATTTTGTTCTATCATTCATCTGTAAAAATTCCTATAGTTTCTTTTCTCTGTCATAAAACTGTATTGTCTGCATATCTCATATTGTTAAGATTTTGGCCGCAAATAAAGAATTCTGGTAGATTTCCTAATTCTCACGGGACCGCTTCAATGTAAAGGTTCACTAAGTCTGGTATGAAGCCATATCCTTCTCTTACGCACTATTCTACATCTGTTTTCTGAATTAATTACCAAGAATTATCTGTGCTAAATGACTTGGTGTAAAGCAAAGTTTTATTGCAGAAAAGAGTCGAGATAAGCAAAAACAACAAAGAACACGTCAAAAGAGAGATAATAATATAAAACCTTAAAAGATGTTGTGCTAAACGAAACAGCTTTATATGAGGTCATTACAACGTAGCAGAAATAGAGGCAATGGCTCGATAAGCAATTTCTAACACTGATACGAACCCATATAAAAGGTAGCAGATATCAACAAACAAAAGACGTACAATAACTATGTATAATGACGCGTGTGTATCGGCAAATTGATAACACAATACTTGAATATACCCATAACGTTACGTTTAATTCAGCTCCGGTTTTTGTCAGTTACTATTGGCCAGTGTGTGTGTGTGGGCATCCCCGTCATAGGTGAACCAGTACGTGGACCTTACATTCTGTCTGCGATGTGTGAGAGACTGCCGAAATCATCGTCTTTTATCATTCTTTATTTTAGAAATTTAACATTACTATTATATAGAGTTCTTTAAAGAAAAAAAAATTCGCCCCAAGCAAAGAGATAATGCCAATAAGACGCAAGGGAGTGAAAGAGAAGGAGAAGATGCTAATGAGGAGAAAGGACAATGAAGAAACATAATTTAGGAAGACAGAAGATTGCGATTGACGCTGTATTTAAATTTTAAAAAATGGTAGGTGTCTGGGAATCTAGAAATCTGAAGAGAGTTCCACAAACAAGAAGATAAAATGTTTAGAATAGAATTTACGCTTACATGTAGATCATTCAATGGTATTTTACGAATAGGCGCTAATCAGTGGATTACAATAATAATTGGGATAGAGTATTTCGTCTTATGTTTTATTAAATATCAGTGTTAAGTTGTATTACTAAAGTTACAGGATGGACTACTTATATTTTCTTACTCAATTTCTACGTTAAGCTGTATATTAACATAGTGAGGTTCTAACAAGGACTATTTCGCTCCTATTTTCTACAAAATACTAACATTTAGTGATGTATTACTGAAGTTCTGGGATAGACTATTTTATACTTATTCTATTTACTAATTCTAGTCTTCTTTTAAGATGCTATTTATCATTAAATTTCAGGGCGATGACAAAGTGATCATTCCTTATTGTTTTCTCTCCATTTATGAACTTTTCAAAAGCCTCGGGTGAACGAATAAAGATTAACAGCGCAAAAAAAAAAAAAACATCATAAAAAAAAAAAAAAAAACAACAACATTGCCAGAAGTCAAATAGTGAAATCAGACCGAGAGAGACCAAAGGAACAACCCCAAAAAACACGAAAACAAATTATAAAAATTGGACCTGGGCGAGTAAGAATGCGGAAACGAAATAAATAATTTCCTTGCTTCAAAAGTCAATGTTTTTTTCCGCCATTTTTACTCTACGGTATTTTTCACAGACCAAATATTCAATAAAATATTTTGTTTAACCCAGTCACTCTTAAACTAATTCTTCATAATTTCGTGTTGTGTATTTTCTCATTTACCCGTCTACTCTCGACTATAACGTCTCGTTCCCTTACAAGGAAATATAAGGTCAATCTATAATATAATAATTTATGTTGGCTTCTACGCAAATGTTCTGCCTTGTAACAAAAACAAGGGTATAGACGTTTGAAACAAACACAAATTCATTACTTTTATTACGAGATTCGAAGTTAGCTAGCAATCACCGTGTCATTGCTAAAAAAGATTTATTCGCGTTAGACGTTCAGTTGTTATTCGCCTTGAGCAAAAATTATACTCCATTTTCCATATCAGTGTGAGAAAAATGATATATACAATTTTACGCATCAGAACAATGTTACGAAAATTAATAAAGAGGAAAATATTTTTTCGTGTGACATGTTTAGTCCTTTAGGACTTTAAATTTAAATGATGCTGAAATTTAAAATTTTTTTTGTCGGTGAGTTAATTATAAAATCCCTTAGATTTATATATACAAAAATACTTGTAAAAAAAGGGTAACAACAAGATTTGGAAACAACTAGTATTATTTATTATATGCTTGTTATGCGGTATTGTGGAAACAAAAATAGTAATACTGAGTTAAATTCTGAGTTTGGGATCCGATGTAGATGAAATATGTATCGGAATCTGACAGAATGATTCAATGAAGAATAAATAAAATGTATACAGTCTTTCTTGTATGTTCTTTCTTTATATAGATGTGTGTTATGAGTATCCAGATAATTAGAAAATACAGTAAGTGCCAGTAAGTGTTAATATTAGGACCTGGAAAAAGAAAAGGAGGCGCACTTGTTAACGACGTGTCTGTGTGAAGGGTTTGTTCGATAGTGAGAATATCACATTTTTGTGCGTGTAGAGGCGAAAAGTTTAGGTCGATTCTGATTGATTTGGAATGAGACTTATTATTCTTATGATTATCTATTATAATTATTTTTGACACTATAATTAAAATTATTTATTTATGAACAGGACAGTTTTAGTGTATTTGGAACTAGATGACCTTGACTATATAGACAAACATTAAAAAAAATTAAATATAAAAGTTTCACTTTTGAACGTCCTCTCGACTTCATGCTCATGCGTAGTTGCGTCAGCGCGACCATAACTTTCCTTCGATGAAGTCCTAAAAGACGAAATGCGTCGCACAAAAGTTCCCCTCACCCACCACATTGTCAGTAATTTTCCGTAATCTATTTTCTTCATCGTTGTGAGATAGCCATTCCTTAGAGCAGCGTTTCTCAACCTTTTTCCCCCCTTGCGTAACCCTTAAAATAAATTACTTGTCTCAAGGAACCCCCTGCGTAAAAACAAAATTATATACCATATCTTTCTCATTGTATTTTCATCGTAGTTCATGTGGTAAATATAGTATATATTTTAGAATAACTGGTTTAAGGAAAAATTATTACTTTGTCAATGTTTTCGGTGATGCTCAATAAAATTCATACTGTTCGTTTATAATACTTTCTCAGAGTTTTCATTCACGCAAAAAATTCTAAAGTCAAACATAAAAAATAAATATAAGTAACCAATCTCACATACCTGTAATATACAGTGTAACCCGGATATAAGAGAGTTATCGGGACCAGAGAAGAAGTCTCTTATATCCGGGTTTGGTCTAATTTATATACATTAACACAGGCTCTAATTTGGGACCAGAGAAAATCTCTTATATCCGGGTCACACTGTATATGTAAACAGAATATTACAATAACCAAGAATATATTGTGTGTGTTTAGTAGTATTACGTATATGAAATTAAATAAAAAGTCAAAAGTGCATTAGCTTATCTCATCTGTTTTCGCGGAACCCTCAGGGACCTTTTGCAGAACTTTAGGCTTCCCTGGAACCCCGGTTGAGAAGCGCTGCCTTAGAACAACACCTTGCAGACTTAAAAGTAATAGTGGCTATTTTCTTAGGAGTAACATTTTGGCAATAATTGACTGAGAATACTTCAGTTAAGTTTTTCTTCTATTCGTGGACATCCATGTAGCCTTTCTGTATATTTTCATAGCAATTGTTCCAATCTGCCTAGCTCTTTGGTACTTAGACTTTATGAATTTAAACAGTTTTAAATTTACAGTTAAAATTGCTAGATGCAACCGTAAGTTCTATGCTAATAATTTCTTCTATCGCACTTCTCGTTTGTGGAACTCTTCTTGCTTTTCAGACCACTCGATCTGAAAACATTTAAACGCAATATCTCCCTGCTCAATTCGTGTTTATTTATTATTCTTTTTCTTTAGTAATGTTTTCTTTTCTTTTTTTTTCGTATTATCTCAAACTCATCAGGTCATTGCGTCTTCATGTCATTACTGCCTTGCTTGGGTGTAAAATGATTTTAAAAAAGTAAATCTTTGAACAACAATAAAAGGAATACTAATTTTCTTGATAGTCGCCAGACATAACTCAATCAGATTCATTTTACTTAACGTTCGCTAATACTACGGTTGATGTGATTCAGTGACATTTAAGGCGGCCATCTTTCGCTCTTTTCTCCTGACCGACAGATAAACATGTCGACGTTTCTCGATTTGTTAATCGGACCAACACTCAGTTAAATCAAAAAATCAACGTTGAAGATCGCAGTCAAGCGTCATGCAGTCGTAGTGAAGAATTAACTGTAGAATTCTGCACCGATTAACCAACTGTTGGAAATGATAATTCTTAAACTTGCCACAATCGGCTCCAACCCCTGCAAAAGGTGGAGTAGTT